GTACATTCCCTTCTAACCCCAAGTTATTTTCATTATGCTCCCCAACTACAACAACCACTGGCAAGAAGCCAGAAATAGAAACACTAATCGTCAACCAAACCAATATCACGTACCCTACAACGGCCCTGTCTTCCATCGACCTCTACCACCTACCAATCGCCGACCACCAACCAACCCATCCAGCTATATCCCACCCCATCGCCGACCTACCTACAACACAGCCTACCAATCAAGAGGTAACCATCGACCTGACCAACAGAAACGACTACCAGCCCACCAACGCCAACCAGTCCCCACTCATAAGGAGGAAGAACCCTTTGTGAAGGTGTTCTTCCAAGTTTTGCAGTGCCTCCATCATTTGGCAATCCTTACCCTTCAACAGCAAGGCCAACCAGCGTTTACCTTCAAACGCAAAGTCTCTGAGTTGGATAGTTTTATCCGTCCAGCAATGAAAACATCAGCTGTCGACGCGAATATTAGATCCCTCAATCGGACATGGCTCTGTAAGGTTACGCAGTTCCTGATCGACCATTACCAAACCACACTTCAAGAGAAGCTGACCACCATTCGTACCAAGTCTTTATCATCACCTGCCGTCGACCGCATCGTTTCTCATGCCCTGTCCTGGGCCCGTCGCTCCTATGGGAAACGTCTCACTCAAGCTGTAATTTCCAAATTCTACTAAACAATCAAGGAAACAAAAACCAGAGTAACCATATCTCTACCAACTGAAATGGACACTACACCTGTACCATCTAGAGCTACCACGCTGCCGAACCAAACCCCTAAACGAGCCCGAAGTTCACCTACTCCTAGTCCAGCAGACATAGGTAAACGCTCTCGTAGAGAGGGCACACCCCTTCTCTTTTCACTTTCAGACTCGTCTTCCCCTTCCACACCATCTGAATCTTCACCACGTGATCCAGGATCCGCCAACCTTTCTTCCTTCTGTGCGTTTTTGGACCAGCAAACCACCCCTCAGTCTCCATCCAAGTCAGACATGTATCCAGACCTTCCCCTCCTCGAACCAGATCCCAGTCCGTTCCCAATGCTACAATTCTAACAACTACCAAACCAGTGCCAATCACACCGTCGACGACCATTATATCCGCTACCAAACCGTATTATCACCAAACCAAGGACAAATCATTATGGAAACTACCTGCTCTAAAGAAATCAACCTTAATAATTGGATCATCTAACCTGAATCGAATTACCAAAACCAGTTCGGACACCGAAATACATTCTTACCCCGGTGCCCAAATCCATCACATACAGTCAATCCTGGAATTATACCAAGAATGACATCAACAGCGAGATATGGTTTCCTCCCAAACAACAACTCAAAAGGAGAATATCCTGTACTGTCATGCCTGGTGCAATTATACGCATGGACTAGTGATGGAAGATGGGATTTCCAATCAGATTTCTCTTCTGGTTTCAAAGTACCCAGCATGTCTAAAAGTGTACGGTTGAACCGTTCACACATGCCATTACCACTAGGATGGTAAGGAGTGGTTCTGGATTTCTTCATTCCAGACAATTCACACAGTTCTGCTATTATGTTATTTTCAAAACTTCCGCCTTTGTCGCTATGAATTCTCTGAGGAAAACCATAATGAAGCACAAAATGATCATAAAACACTCTGGTTGTTGTCTTGGCAGTTTGGTTGGTGGTGGCATAAGCTTGAGCGTATCTTGTGTAGTGGTCAGTGATGACTAAAATGTTGGAATACTTACCTTTAGACTCCTCAAGGCACAGGTAGTCCATACAAACGATTTCCATGGGTTGGGTCGATCCCTCAGTAATGACAAAGTTCTGTCTCTTCCCATGTGACCAATATCATCATGTAAACCTTTCAATACCATTTTTCTGAATTGTGCTGGTACAACTAACTGGAAAACATCATTGTCGTCAATTCTGGTCTTCCTAAACAACACATCAGATTGGAGAACGAGGTGGTTGATTTCTCTCAACAAATATGATGTAGTTGCTGACGTAGCTGTTGATGTAGATAATTTCGTTCCAGTTTTCACAGCTTGGTATACAATTCCTATATCTGGATCATCCTGTTGTTGTCGACTCCAGTCTATCTGATCTTTGGTAAATGTTGGTAAGTTCAAATCTGGTATAAGTAGTATCGCCATTGATTCCGCCAAACCACCCTCAAGCTTCAGATTTTGTAGTGCCTTGATTGTCTCTGCAGATAGTTCTCTTACGTGGTTATCTTCTGGTAGTCTTGATAAACAATCAGCATCCATGTTGGTCTTAACAGGTCTGTAACGGATGTTAAAGTTGTATTGTTCTAAACGAGCAAGCCAACGGTGTCCAGTTGCATCAAGTTTAGCACTAGTCAAAACATAAGTCAGTGGATTACTATCAGTGAATACCGTGAAGGTGTTACCATACAGATATTGATGAAACTTATCTGTTACAGCCGATTTCAAAGCTAACAATTCCAGTTTATGAGCGGGGTAATTTTTCTCAGACTTCGTTAAACCACGACTTGCATAGGCTATCACACGATCTTTACCTTCCTGATGTTGATAAAGTACAGCACCTAAACCTCTGCCACTGGCATCGGTGTGTAAAGTGTAAGGTAGTGATGAATCTGCGTAGGCCAAAATAGGTGGTTGGAGCAACTTCTCTTTCAAAGTATCAAAAGATGACTGCTGTGCTTCATCCCATTTCCATTCTGGATTTGTTTCCACCTTTCCTCTCCCTTTCTTCTTAAATGTTGGTCCACCAACAAGCAACTCATTTAAGGGTCTCGCTATCGAA